CTTAATAAAGTCTACTTTAACAAACTCACAAATTTCTTTATATTTCTCGATTCTATCATGTTTTTTGTAAATTTGATCGATTAAATCTCTAACATAACCTAAAAGATAGGTACAATGAGTTGACATATCACTTTTTTCTATCAACTTTAAGATTTTTTCCAACACAAAATTTACAAGATTACGATAAACATAATTATCCTTGTAGACTTTATAGCGTAATTTATAATAACAATACTCTCGTAAAATACGTAATTTGAAGTTCACAGCATAGACAAAATCATGTTCCTTCAACAACCCCTTATAACACGGGCATATTTTCATGAAGTTTTTAACGAATATTGACTTGTAAGTCTTATACTTTCTCGAGTTCGGTCTTGGAGATTCGAGACCACAATCCTCGACAACCTTTCGCCAGAAAGGATGCACGTCAAGAGCTTTTTTCCAAGTTTTACAGACTAACGAGCTTTTTTGAAAGATATACGGATCGAAAATGTAATTAAAAACAAGATAAATAGGATGTATCTCATCATCGTTCTCAAATTCTCGTTTCATTTTTAAGTTTATCACTAAGATACAAAATTCATATTTATAAACTTGAAAAATTACTAAATAAAGATTCCACATTAGGAAATTTATTGATCAGCAATGGACTGGAAATTGAAGTTTCCATCGTTCGAACACGCAACAACCTGGGAGAAGATTACGAATCCGAACAAGCCCAGGTTAAAATTGAACGAGTATCGCACGGTGAAGATCAATAACAAGCTGTACTTCGAGGTGAAAACCCAGAAACCCGACATCACGTTTCTCATGGACTGCAAGCACTTTGAGTATCTAAAGAACTATACTTGGTATTGTAATAAATATAAACACCGCAAAAAATATCATCATTATATAAAAACACGCAAAAATAAAAAAATAAAAAAATTTCATCAATTAATTCATCCCAACTGGAAAATTACTGATCATATTAACAGAAATACATTTGATAATAGAGAGATAAACTTAAGAGAAACAACATATTCACAAAATAATCTAAATAGATTTTTATCAAAAAATAATACTTCAGGATTTAATGGAATTCATTTTGTCAAACGTATAAAAAAATGGAGATTTAGCTGGTATGAAAATAAAAAAACAGGAAATAGAAATGGTTATTCTGTTTAATGTACTTAAATTTTGATAATGTATTGGTTGTCTCTGCTTAAATGAATAAACAAAAACATTCAAGCTGCACCAACGGGAAGGTTCATTATCATAGCAGCTTTAAAAAAAAACAAGAGCAAACGATCAATTCGGACGTGAATCCAAATTACTGGGGAGATTATGTTCGGATCCCAAGCCATGAATGAACAATAACCACGATCGTAAAACTCATATAAATTTTGACTTTTGTAGTTCAGGTACAGCTGCCAAAAGCCTAAATATCAGTGTACCGAGTCGCATCTCAGCATTATAAGCCTGAGGATTCAACTGGTGAATCCATGTAGTGTGCCCCGAGATGACTAACATTGAGAGTGCTTTTTTACTCTCTATAGTAGAAAAAAAGCCTAAAACACATCCGTCCCTCAAGACGTTCCTCAAGGTGCATTTAAAATGCAAACACTAAGTTTTTCGTTTGCCCTCGAGGTGGAGAGCAATGGTCAAAACTTAATAAAGACCATCTGAAGCGATAAAGATTTGACCGTTTCGCCCGTGTCAACCAGAGAGACGTGAATACGCTTCACCAAAAAGATGGTTATCTCATGCGTCATTCGCCGCCTCACATCGTGTTCATCTCTCTCACAAGAGACTACGTTTCTCCCTATTCGGATATTAAGATGCGGGTATTCTCCACCATCTCTCTGATAAAACCACGAGCGAAAAGTGAAATGTAAGATTGGGCGCAATCATCAACTATTTGTACGGTCGATCATCAATGAGTCACATCCGCTTACGTAATCGCACATGCATGCTATCAGATCAGCCAAATCCGGATTCATACAAATACGCAATCATGCATGTATGAATAAAACGGGAACAATCTTGAGGAAATATAAATGCGTAAAATGCCAAAAGTAAAAGATAAGAAAAAATACGTAAACCATTTTACCAAAATGTCCTTGGCTGGTGCTCTAAATGTCGGAAAACGAAATGCTAGAGGAGAGCTGGAACATGATCATGATATTCAAGAATTTGAAAATCTACCATTCAAAATCAAAATCGAAACGATCCAAGGAAAAGATAAAATCGCAAGATTCTTTTTTTTAAACAAACAAGATGAAAAAATCAATATACCCGATGGTATCATCTGCTTGGATGTTACGCACAAAAGAAAGAACCGCAATATCCAATGCCTGACACACAATATTATCTGATCGAACACCCGATGAAATATGTAATATACTATGATCCTATGAAAAAAGGAAAAACAACAAAAAAAACAAAAATCTACTCTATCAATTCTCAAAAAAAATACATCATTCATAATTTTAAGAAAACTAGCGCAACATTAGAAAATGAACGTTCAAAAAGAGAAACCAAAGAAAAAAAAAGATTAGACAACGCTATCAATAGCATTACTGGTTTAACCCTGAATGATAGTGAAAACGATGATGATTCTGATGATGATTCCGATAAAATGGATATCAAAAAAGATTATTTTGTATAATTTTATTTAATTTATAATAAAAAATGCTTTTTCGCTCATAATTATACAATAAAATATCGAATTTAATAAAAAATATTCAACTAATTATCCTCAAGTTTAATGATCACATTTAACGCTTTGTTAACACGCTTTTCTAATTCGTATTGCTTGAGGTTATCGGGCTTGTTAAAATTATGAACGGTATAACGCTTTTGCTCAGGAATCAAAGCGAAGATTCTCTTTTTCTTAAATAAAATATTATATTTTTTTGGGTGATTAATCAAAAAAATATTTGAATTACGGAAAGGTTTTTTAATCTTTCTCTGATCCAATTCGTTAATTTCTTCACATTCGATCTCAACAGGGACTTGAATTTCCGTAATCGGATCACCATCAAGAAAATACAGTTCCACAGTCTTCTCCTCATCCTCGCTTTTTTCGACCTTGATCAAAAACGAAACATCTTGAAATCCTTGCGTGTTTCTAAATTTCTCTTGGTCAAGAAAGCTCACAACACCAGCAATAGTAGACATACTTCAAATATATCAGCAATAGAATATTAATCAAGAACAAACAAAAATAAAAATTTACCTGTTAAAAAAACTGTCAAAACGACGAGAAATCTCTGTTGAATTCATTATTTTT